CACTCCTCAATGTGATGGCATTCACATGGTGTTTGGGATTAGCATCAGTTCTTCCTGGAAGAAATCTTTCTTGCCTCTGAACAGCTCCTGCAGTTTGGGCAACTTGAACATCAAGCTTCTTCATATGAGAGTTCAGACTCTCAATTTTTCCATTCAAATCCTGATAGAGCGAATCTATCTTACCATTAAAGTCCACTGTAAGCTTATGTTGTCCTTCCAAGATCTGTTCTAACATTGCTTCCATTTTATTCTCTTGTGGAGGTGCTGGTTGATAGGAAGAAGAACCATAGTTTCTGTAATTTCCACTGTTCTGGAATGGCTTATGATACTCTGTCTTCTGGAATAAGCTGTATGGGCGTTCTTCTGATTATTGTTGCTGTATCCTCTGTTCCACTGCTGATTCTCATACCTTTGTCCCTGAAAACCACCAGAATTGATGAAATTTACATCCTCCTGCTCAACTTCCTCTGGAGCTTCGAAAGTTTCCACTTCTGCAGCAAAGTGAACCGACTTCTTCCCCACCAAAAGGCTGTGCATATCATCCAACTTAGCATTAACTTCAGCAATCTGATTTCTATCAGCTACACCAGCTTGTTTCATCCTCTGAAAGTCTGTATTTTTAGTGCTGTTGCTGCAGACCAAGTTCTCAATCAGTCTGATTGCCTCTTCTGGTCTGTTGGTGTTGAAGTTTCCTGCACTTGCTGCATCCAGCGCCATCTGATATTTCCAGTCAATGCCTCTGAAGAAAATCCCAAGTAATTGCACCTGACTGAAACCATGATGAGGACAGTCCCTTTGATAAGACTTGAACCTGATCCAAGAGGCCTTGAAAGCTTCAGTAGGTCCTTGTGTAAATGATGCAATTTTCGTCCTCATGTCCTCTGATCTTGCATCATCATAGAAGTTGTTCAAAAAGGCATTCTTGGTGTCTTCCCAAGTAGTCAATGAAGCAGGTTCTAGTTGCTTCAGCCAATATGCAACTTCTCCTTCAAGAGAGTAAGGAAAAAGCTTGCAGAACAGAAAGTCATTGCTAACCCCATTAGCTTTGACACTGGAAGCCAAGTCCTCAAATCTCTCTATGTGATCCATAGGATGCTCATGAGGTAAACCATGGAATGGATGCTGGCCAACCAGCTGATAGTAGACAGGTTTAACCTCAAAATCGTTCCTCTGGAAGGCAGGAGGTCGGATTGCAGCTCTGTTGGCATAGAACTGATCAGGTCTGTTGTAGTCACCTAGAGTCCTCTGAACAAAACGCCCAGCAGCGTTATTGACAGCAGCAGGGACTCCCACGTTCTCAGCCACTTGCTGAACCTGCTGTTCAACAATGACATTCCCCTCTTGATCAATTCTCTGCCCCTCTTCGTTCCTCCTATTTCCTTCCCTGTCAACTAAGTGACCTTCTGCATCTTCAACCAAGATAAGTGGAGCGACCATTGTAGATTGCTTCTTAGCTTTCCTGTTAGTTCTCTCCAACCTAGCAAGCTCGTCGATGCTCAAAGTCACAAGCTCCTTCTCTTTGTTGCTTCTGATTCTGCGATTAGACATACACCTGAAACAGGCACAGAGAAAAGAAGCTAAAAGTCAGTAAACAAATAAAAACTTAGACAAAATCCTAATACTAAAAATCGATAGGCAGCTATTACTCCCCGGCAACGGCGCCAAAAACTTGATAGGGTCAGGTTTTACCCAAATAAAACTACTGCAAGGGCATAGCAAAAGCAGTTGTAGTACAAGGGGTATCGAAATCCCAAGAGAGTAATGCAGACTACACTATCGAATGTAGATTCGGATTCAGCTAAGCAAGATATGATGTATGTAATGCGAATGAATAAATGAAAGTAAGCAAACGATTTTGTAAGATGATCTAAGTTCCAGAAAACTAAGAGCGCTAAGTCAGGGCAGTTTGCAGGTTGAATCCAAGAATGTATGACGCAGGAAATCAGGAATGATTAAGAACCGTTTTAAACATGAATCACTGATGTATAACTAATCAATTCTCATTGCAAAAGTTATCTATGCCTAAATCACAGAGTTTCAAATCTCTTTGTAAACTCTAACAACCTAAGCATGCAGGAATGATCAGATTCAATTGTTTACAAAACTACTAAGCCAAATCTCTTTGCACTAAGTTGCTTTGCTCATCAAATACTAGTTCAGGTTATGAATAATGATCTCACATATATTTAACAATCTAAGATTTTCGGATTTCTAGATGATGTGTCTTAGAAATTCGATTTTAAAGCAAGCAGAGATGAAAAACCATAAGATATTCCTAACAGATAGCGATTCTACAATCTTTTCATCAACCTTTGAAAAACCCTAACTTAACTAGCAGATTACTCAGACATGATTATGAGATCACAAAACATAACTGAATAAAATTGCATTAAGAGAAAGAGTAAGAAATAAAGGGGGTTCGAAATTCTTCTCAAAAGAGTACAGGATTTGTCTCCCCAAAAAGCTCTGAATAAATCTCTCTCTAAGCTCTCTGAATTCTCAAAAACTAAGATAATCGCCAACAATGGCTGAAAAACCTAATAAATAGAGGCTAAACACGATCTGGGGTCTTCATGTAAATAAAGGAACTTCTGGGCCAATTCTGCAAATCTTCTTCATACTTTTAATAAAACAGCCACGCTCCTTCCTTGATGGGTGACGAGCGTCACCAAAGGTGGTGACGAGCGTCACCCTATGTGATACTTTCTGCTTCGAGCTTGGTACTTCGTGGCTTCCACCCAGAATACTCCATAAGGTTCCAAAATCTCCAATTATGCTTCAGACATGCTATAACCTGCAAAGACTCTTCTAGGACTCTAAAAAGACCAAAAAGACTCGATAAAAAGGACTTATATCATGGTTAAAAACCATAAAAACCATGATATATCATCCTGGCATCTCTTTTATGGTTAACACATTGTATCAATTTTCTCATGATCCCCGAGATACTCATCACAACGCTGCACACAAGCTGTTAAGGAACTTGAAAGGGACTGTTGGACATGGTTTGTTTTATACAGCTGACAACAAGTTTGACTTGCGTGGTTTTGCGGATGCTGATTGAGCTGCTTGTACTGATACAAGAAGTTCTATTTCTGGTTCGTATTTGTTTCTTGGTGATTCCCTCCTCTCTTGGAAATCTAAGAAGCAAGACATTGTATCCTGCAGTACTGCAGAAGCAGAGTTCCGATCAATGGCCTTTGCGACAAAGGAAATGATTTGGCTATCTCGCTTATTGACTGAACTACGAATACCATTTCATGAGCCCGCTTATCTCTATTACGATAACACTACTGCGATTCACATTGCCAATAACTCAGTGTATCATGAGAGGACGAAACATGTTGAACTCGATTGCTACAAAATTTGTGAATCAATCGACTGTGGCTTCCTGAAGACTATATATGTAAAGTCTGATAATCAACTAGCCAATGCTCTTACGAAGGCTTTACATCCTGCACTTTACTGAGAGCTTATACGCAAAATAGGTATCTGCAACATCTTTACACATCTATCTTGAAGGAGGCTATTAACGTGTATATTATATATTTATATTATATTTATACAGTTTACGGTTAAAAGCTCTGGAATATCCGATTTATATCAGTAGATTAGATTGGTTTAGCTTAATTTAATATACATCAGTATATATATAGTTTATACCAAACATTATTCAGATTAATGAAAAATTCAGTTTACACTTTACTGTTTCAATCATAAACACTAATAGTAACAAATCCCGAATAAACTGAGAATTTAAATGACCAACCCTAATAATCGAATGCTCACCCATAATCCATTGAATTATTCACTGCCTTAAGGAGTCTACGCCAATATTAGTCTTTATTTAATATATATAAACGTTTTTTTTATATAACCCACACTTATGTTAAGACTATGAAATTACATACAAAGCCACGCAACAACATAAAGCCATTGTGCTCTCTAATCACAAAACATATACTCCCTCTATTTTTAAAAAATTGATGTTTTAGATTTTGTTTTATTTTTAAAAGATTGATGTTTTACATTTTAATTAATATATTTTGTTTTATAAGATAAATTAAAAATAAACTATTGGTTTACTTGTATTGAAAACCAAAAAAGTAACTAAAAAATATAAATATAAATAATTAGTAAAGCAAGTAATTATTATATCTTAATATGTGTGAAAAATGTTAAACATCAATTTTTAAAAAAACAGAAAAAGTATGATTTACGAAGGAGCTTCTCCATCTCCAGATCCCAAAGTAACAAGACAACAACCACAACAAGAACCAGTTAGCATTCTTCAAAGATCTCACATCACTGAAGAATAAAGTAAACAACAGAGCCTCTAAGGAATCTTGCTAATAACTCTGAATGATTTCCTTTGACATTGGCTCTTTTAACTATCTCCGTGATAAGACCAAAAAAACATTTTCTGCAACATGTATCCGAGAAACCAATGAGATTGGCCAACACAAGTATATATAGTCTCTTTGTGTATAGGACAAGAAAATAATTTCGTGTTCTTCTAGCTACTTAAATCAGTTCAGTACTAGTTATATTTTCACATACATATCACAATTACTCGTCGCAACCATACGATTTAAAACATCCATGGCGTTTTAGTAGCTAAATCCCGATTAAGATCAGACACACATGATAATACTGTATTGTACTCTTGCTATACATACTATGCATGTTAGATCTTTAATTTGAGTTCCTAATTTTACTAGTTAGCCAATTCACCCTTAGTTCAATAGCTAATAATTTAAATATTGACAGCAAATCAAACTAATCTAATGCAACTCTGAATTTCCACATCGCAGTAGTATTTATACGTTCTTAATATACAGTTATAAAAAACAAATCAACATATTGTATGATAAAACAAACAAAGAAACAAAAATCAAACTTTAGATCGTTACAAAACACTATACGATCATTATTATTCCATCGATCGTTACCATTCAGTTTCGATTGGTTTCCAAACGACCCAGTATAATATAGATACCACAGATAAAGCACAAAACATAAGGATCAACAAGCATTGCAAGAAGTAAAACCAGAACTCCTTTAGGTACAACAGATTTAATCAGCTTCTTTGCATTTCCTGACAAAGAGTTGCGTTTTGCTTCTGCAAGTTGTTCTCTTTCTCTTGTTCTTTTAGTAAACTCTTCCTCTTCTCTTTTCGAAATTTTTGCTAACATTTTCTTAACCTCTTCGGTGATTACCTTCGCGAAATAGCTCTCATGATCATACCAGTAACGAGTTACAACACTATTTATATATTTCTGATTCCTATCACAACAGAACCAAATGATCATTAAGTTTGGGGAGAAATAGCTCTCATGATCATACCAGTAACGAGTTACAACACTATTTATATATTTCTGATTCCTATCACAACAGAACCAAATGATCATTAAGTTTGGGGAGAAATATCAAATGATCATTTGGTTAAATTCCAACTCTCAGCCGTATTTATAGTCTGGACTACGCTTTGTATTATTTTTACTCTCATGCTTTTTAATTTGAAAACTATTTAATAAAAAAAGATTTACGGGAAAATGCCATAACATATCACTGAAGTCTACTTACTATCCCACTTATAAAACAAGTTTATTACCATTTGTAAAATATTTTATATGATTATTTTAAATCAACTTACCACTAATAATAATGTATTAATTTCTATATTACAAATAACTACCGTGACATTTAAAGTCTACCATAATTTAAAAGGCAAATGTTGATCGCCAACACCAATTGTGAACGTTGGTCGCAAAGGTTAATCGCAAACGCTATTTACAAATGTCAGTTATAAATATTATTCGCAAACGCTTATTATAAACGTTATTTGCAAACACTTATTAAAAATGTTAATCGCAAACATTAGTCACAAACAATGATCGCAAACATCAATTACAAACGCATTTATATTATATTCGTTTAAGAAAAATAAAATATATAATAAAATTAAAAAATAATATTTTATTATTAATTTTTTAATCTTTTAATAAAATTTTAAATTATACATAATAGCAGTTTCATAAAATTAAACAAAATAACAAGTTTTTCAAGTCTTTTCACATATCCTTCAAAGTCTTCAAACAATAAAAGACTATTTTTAATAATTATAGTACTTTTCAAAGTTATTCTAAGTAATTTCTCAAAACATTATGGTAAAAGAAATGGCATCATTTTAAAAATAAATCACAAACACATAATTTTATTATTAAATTGTGATTTATTCTTCGTATGAATAGGTATTCCAAATTTTTATTTTTTATGATTTGTTTGGTAAATATTGTATTCATCTAAAATATTTTCGATATTCAATAATTAGCTAATTCCAAAAAAAATTACATACAAAATTTGCAATGTAGAATTATAAGAAAATAAATTTCTAGATGCTAATGATATGGTATTTTAATGATATGGTATTGGATGTTGATGAGTTCAATAAAGAGGAGGATTAACAAAAATCATGTAGAGATGTTTTTAATGCAAGTCACTGAAAGTACCCCAAAAATATCCAAAAAATGTTTGGGTGAATATCAGATTCTATACATATAGAAAATAACTGAAAGTACCCCAAAAATATCCAAAAAATAAGAAAAACCTGAAGATATCCATAAAATCAAGTTTTGGGTATTTCGGGTTTGGATATTTTATATATTCGTTCCATTCTGAGATATTTTGGGTGTCAGTTCGGTTCTCAAATATTTTACAGAATTTTCATGATGTGTTTCATGTTATGCGTCCTGTTTACATTAAAATAACCTCAACTAAACAGAAGAAAGGGACAAGACAATAGAAACCTGATTTCTGAAGACAGACCAAACTTTCTTGAAACAGACATTAGAGCTTCATTCCATTTCTTCATCATTTCCTTTTCTTTGTGATGTTTTTTCTTCAAGTTCCAAAAATTTCGTCCAAAATTTCCTTTCACGTTCATCACATCTTTCGTCTCCACGTCGAAAAAGATAGGAATCACTTGAAGATTTCCTTGGTCCACGCGTTTTTTAATATGAACCAGCTCATTTAAGCACCACTTTGATCGCTATTCTTGACTCCGCGATCTTATCGAAGAGAAGCTTTCGATCTTCGCCTCTCACCTCATCTTCATCTACAAATATGTTGCCTTGCTCTTCTTTTAGGGCTTTAACAAGAATCTTTAAAAACCCTTCACGCAGCTCTGCTCCTCGATAGTTGATGAACACTTGATGCTGCAGTGGGATCCGCCTCATGAGCACTTCGATGAAGTTGTATGGAGACAAAAAGAAAAACGATGAAAATATAATCATTTTATCTAAGACCTTGTGCTTTTAATGGTATCAACGTGGGGTTAATAATTACTAGATGAGTATCCGCGCGATGCGCGGATTTTTTTTCACAATATAATTTATTAAAAAGTGTAGTTACAATTTATTTTATCGTATATTTTAAAAAATTTAAAGGATATTGTGTATTTGAATAAACATACAATACATATTTACATATTATGTGGATATTAACTATATATGTGATCAATAGTTTATTGATAAGAAAATATGAAATATATTATACCTTGTATATATAGAATATATTAAATGGATATGCAAATCAGAGAAGTACAATATAACAAAAACTAATTAGAGAAACTCTTCAAACACAACATAGATAGAGACGACTCTTTTTAACATGTCGTACTTGTTCACGGCGTAGATTTATACAATAGTAATATTGTGGTTTTATATTATTATGAGCTTAAATAATTAATTTATAATTCTAATTTATATAGCTTTATTAAATATTTTATAAATATATATATTAGGACTTTGATATCTTATTAATTTTAAAATTATTAATGGATCAAGTTTGCATAAGATAAATTATCAAATAATTATTAGTTTATAAAGAAATTGTTTTAAAGTTTATTATAATATTGTATAAATTTTTCTTCTATCTTTTTAAGGTTCAAAATATCAAATAATTGTTATTTTTATATTTATACAATTGTTTTTATAATAATATCTTATAATATTAATTAAAAATAAGAAAACACTCTTAAATATAAAACATAAATTTTGTTAATGATTTTTAAAAACTACCACAAAATAGATATTCAATAATTGTTTTTGGATATTAAGTATATATTGTTATATATTATCTTATTCTTCATATTTTTCATATTCTTTTAGTATTATGATTAAGAATACATTAAATTTAAGCATTAACTGTATTTTATATAATTTGTATCATTAAATTTTAAAAAATGACATGTCATTTCCACAATAAACCAAAATGATCACATATATAGTTAATATCCACATGATATGTAAATACTTATTGTATGTTTATTCAAATACACAACATCTTTAAGAAAAAATTAAATATACGATAAAATATATTGTAACTATACTTTTTAACAAACTATATTGTGATAATATAAAAGATGGCCAACTCTCTCCAATTAAGTGCCACATCAGCATTGTTGAGAGTGACACCTGTTATTTTAAATTTTATAATTAATAATCTATTATTTTAATGCAATAAGAATTAAATTAATTAATTATTTATCTTTTAATTACATACTAATTAAATTTATATATACTTAATAAATGCATAACATAATTTACATTTTCTGGTGATAAAATATTTATCACATATATAGTTATTATCGATAAAATATATATATATGTATTATATATTTATTCAAATACACAATATTTTAGGGAAAGTTCATATATAATAAATTATCATTAAAATTTTAATTTTTTTTATTAAATTAAAATATGTAATAATTTATAAGTACTCTTTTTTATTATAGTCAAAATATGTGGTAATATATTTTTGTAATTATAACAAATCTGTAAACTAGAGTCAAAACAGGTTGCATCATCAGGTTTCTAGATGAGTACCCGCGCGATGCACGGATTTTTTTTCACAATATAATTTATTAAAAAATGTAGTTACAATTTATTTTATCGTATATTTAAATTTTTTAAAGGATATTATGTATTTGAATAAACATACAATACATACTTATATATTATGTGGATATTGACTATATATATGATCAATGGTTTATTGATAAGAAAATATGAAATATATTATACCTTGTATATATAGAATATATTAAATGGATATAGTGCAAATCAGAGAAGTACTATATAACAAAAATTAATTAGAGAACCTCTTCAAGCATAACATAGATAGAGACGACTCTTTTTAAAAGGTCGTACTTGTTCACGGCGTAAATTTATACAATATTAATGCCGTGGTTTTATACTTTTATATTTTTATGAGCTTAAATAATTTATTTATAATTCTAATTTATATAGCTTTATTAAATATTTTATAAATATATATATTAGGACTTTGATATCTTATTAATTTAAAAATTATTAATGGATCAAGTTTGAATAAAATAAATTATCAAATAATTATTAGTTTATAAAGAAATTGTTTTAAAGTTTATTATAATATTGTATAAATTTTTCTTCTAACTTTTTAAGGTTCAAAATATCAAATAATTGTTATTTTTATATTTGTATAATTGTTTTTATAATAATATCTTATAATATTAATGAAAAATAAGAAAACACTCTTAAATATAAAACATAAATTTTGTTAATGATTTTAAAAACTACCACAAAATAGATATTCAATAATTGTTTTTGGATATTAAGTATATATTATTATTAAAATATATTATCTAATTCTTCATATTTTTCATATTCTTTTAGTATTATGATTAATAATACATTAAATTTATGCATTAACTGTATTTTATATAATTTGTATCATTAAATTTTAAAAAATGACACATGTCATTTCCACAATAAACCAAAATGATGAGGTGTCATTCATATAGAGAAAGTTGGCCAACTTTTATAGTATACATTCAATAATTGGTCATAATTTTTCCAAATTGACCGTAATTTGATTCTTTCATTAATCCATAAAATCATACACACCACAAAAGTCGGGATTTCATTACAAGAATTCTTTATGCTCAATAATGGTCTGTAGTTACACAACATTTTACAGTTGGTGGTAGTTACTTTAAAACTTGGTTTTATGGCATTTTAATTTTAAGATAATTATTGAAATGATCAGAAAATATTTTATACTTATGTATACATCACCAACAAATATTTTATACTTATGTATAAAAATTTTACATGTTCAGAAAATAGTTAGTTAATTGTTTTTAAAAATAAATTTCCAACATTTAATTTTTAAACTGTAACAAATTGTTTTTGTGGTATATACATTAATATAATAGTTAATACAATTTGTTTCAAACCCCCAAAATCTCAGGGCCGATCATGTGTATGTTTAGTCATCCTGCCAGTAGTCTGTCATTAGTCTGTTGTAAATCTACAAGTAAAAATAGTTTAAAGGATGACATAATACCATATGGACGAGAACAAAAAATAATGAATGCCGTGGACGAGAACAAAAAATAATGAATGCCATTTGTGTCGTTATTCTAGTTTTCGCTAGTTTTTACTTTGTACCAACTGTGTCTAGAGTGTATCCACCAAGCCAAATTGGGGAAAAAAACTGAAAATAAAATTCAAACTAAAACTTTGTTTATAATTAACTAATTTGGTTCAATTATATTTATGCCAGAAAAACTAAATTTCCGGTAATTGAGTCAACCGAACCAAACTAATTAAATATATCTTGAATATTACAATTTTGTATAATTTGATAAATTATAGTAG